TACTGAGAAAAAAACAAAACAGAATAAAAGACATTAGTAAGATAGCTGACAAAATAAGAATATCAACCATAATATGAACTTCCAACCACTGCTGGAAGTTTCCATATTTAATAAACACCCTGTGGTTACAGAAGATAATATTACTGTTCTTAGGAAATACTGCTGTGCAAACTGGCATGATATCTGCAATGTATTAACAAATAGTTCAGAAGAAACAATGTTTATAGGGAGAGAGACTATAAAACAAAGTTTCCAAGTAAATTCTTTATACTGTTCTTGTAACTTTTCTTTAAACTTACATTATCTTATACCAGTTAATTTCAATAAGATTAGGTCAACAAGCCAAACTAGTTCTGGGACTTCCCCACTACAACACTGGAAGTTTTTTGTTTGTTTTGCTTTTTGGTAGGTCGTGGGGCTTGAACTCTGGGCTTGGATGCTGTCCCTGTGCTCTTCAGCTCAAGGCGAGTGCTCTGCCACTTGAGCCACAGCACCACTTCCGGTTTTCTAGTGGTTTATTGGAGATAAAGAGTTTCACGGACTTTCCTGCCGGGGCTGGCTTTGAACCACAACCCTCAGATCTCAGCCTCCTGAGCAGCTAGCATTACAGGCTTGAGCCACCAGCACCTGGCACAATACTGTAAATTTAATTTCTTGTAACTATGTCATTTCTATATACTAAATTGAAACCAGTTATAAATTCCAATTTGAAACTTATTTTAGAAGAAATGAAATGTGTATCAAATATAACATAACAAAAGGATTTATGCTAATTTTTGTGAACTTTGGAAATTTGAAATAGCTATTAACTGTTGTGAAACTTTTCTATAGAAACAGTTGAACAATGTACAAAGTATACTAGTGGTCAAGAATATTTAATAGGATTATGTAACAAACAAAACTGCAGAAAATAGAAAAATCTACTACTGGAGGAAGAGTTCAGCAAATTTTGATACATTCACTTTGTACAAGGCCAATCCCTTGTACTTTGTGCCAATCCTGGGGCTTGAACTCAGGACCTAGGCACTATCCCTTTGCTTTTTTGCTCAAGGCTAAAGCTCTAGCACATGAGCAACTCCTCCACTTCCAGCTTTTTGATGATTATCTGTAGATAAAAGTCTCACCAACTTTCCTGCCCCAGCTGGTTTTGAACCATGGTCCTCAGATCTCAGCTTCCAGACTATTTAGGATTATAGGCATAAACTACCAGCACCTGGCAACACGAATTTCAAAAGGAACAAAGTAAAAAGCCCAGTACCAGTGGATCAAGTCTGTAATTCCAATTACTTGGGAAATTGAGATAAGGAGGATTGCAGTTTGAGGCCAGCATGAGTAGAAAAGTTAATGAGACAGCTTCTCAATAAAAAGCTGGATGCAGTGGTGCATGGCTGTTATCCTAACAACACAGGAAGACTAATATAAAATGGATCATTGCCCACCTGGGTAGGAAGTGAGACCCTATCTTAAAAATAATCAGCAAAAAAACAGGACTAAAAGTGTGGCTCAGAAGTAGAGAGCCAACCTAACAAGCTTGAGGACTTGAGTTGGAACCACAGTATTGTCCTCCACCCGAAGTTAAGTACAGACAGTCAATTTTAGAATGGTTCTATTTAACAACAATTCAGCATTGGTGTAAAAGCAATAGACATTCAGTAGAAAAGTACTTCAACTTCTGAATTTTGAGCTTTCTAGGACTCTGCATACTATGTTCCTGTTGGGCAACGGCAACAAGCTGCAGTCCCAGGTGGCCACCCAATCACCAAGTTAACAATGCTATGATGGTTCCTAACTTTAGGTGCATTAAGTATATTTTTTAACTCTTTCCAATGTACTCATTTTACTACATGATATAAATTGGAGGGGGAAAGTTGCTGATATATTTAATGATATTAAAAAAAAATCACAACTGGGCTGGGAAGGTGGCTCAGTGGTAGAGCGCTTGCCTTGCATGCTCGAGGCCCTGGGTTCGATTCCTCAGCACCACATAAGCAAAAAGAAAAAGCCGGAAGTGGCGCTGTGGCTCAAGTGGTAGAGCGCTAGCCTTGAGCTGAAGAGCTGAGGGACAGCGCCCAGGCCCAGAGTTCAGGCCCCACGACCGGACCCCAAAAAAAAAAAATCACAACTGAGCTAAGCCTAAGGATGCACAGAAAATTGGTACCAGTATTTGATCTTAAAAGGATTTTTTCCCTAAAAGTTTATTAACCATTTTTACAGTTTAAAAAAAACTGGAAACTCTGTAAATTCTTTTTTGTTGTTGTTGGTCATGGGGCCTGAACTCTGGGCCTGGGCACTGTCCCTCAGCTCTTCAGCTCAAGGCTAGTGCTCTACCACTTAAGCCACAGCACCACTTCCAGCTTTTTCTGCTATGTGGTGCTGAGGAATCGAACCCAGGGCCTCATACATCCAAGGCAAGCACTCTTACCACTGAGTTACCTTCCCAGCCCCGAAACTCTAAATTCTTAAAATTAAGGCTTAAGTGTACCAGATATTGGCTCCAGTAGTAAAGTACCTGCTTGGCAAGTAGGAGGCCCTAAACTGAACCTCTAATACAAACAAATAAATAGATACTATATAGATAAATGTGTGTGTTGATGTAATATTATTTCACTGAAGAAAACAAACATACTATTTTTAAAGGCATATTCTTGTTATTTAGATACATGTATGCTTCTTTTAAGTACCTCTGTTCTGTCAAGTTCCATGATTTTTATTTTTAAACTAACAAATCCAATAACTCCTTTTAAAGATTAATCTTGAAACATAAAACTCAAATTACTTAACAAAGCTTTCTGAGAATCACTGAAATTAACAGGCCAAAGTACGATCCGAACAATCTACAAGTGACTGATGATGATAAAGTAAATTATTAACTTTGAATTTAGTGACCATCTTGCTACCTATATTATGAATAGGAAAGATTACCATCTTCCTTTTACAGTCCTAGTGATGTATGTATAATTGTGTAAGCATGTAAGAATTAAAATCAACTAATACTTATTAGCTTGTTCATAGTATGTTTAAAGTCCTGTGATGTAAATACCATCCTCAGTCAAAAGAACATTACAAAATTGACGTTCATTTTAAATTTAATGAGGAATACTGAAATCTAAACTATTCCTTTAATTTGGCAATTCTGGAGACAAATTTACTTTGTGCCACTGTTTGAAGTCACATTCAGAGTATACTTCTAATTTATAGAGATAAGTGAAAAAGGTCACTTACATACTTTATTATTGTTGTCTTATTATTGATACCCTACATAACCCAAGCTGGCCTGAAATTTATCTTCTTCTTTCTCATCCTCCAGAGTGCTCGGATCATAGATGTGCACTCCCCATAGCCAACTCATGTACTCTTCATAAGCACTGGTTATACTCTTATGTGAGAATCATCATGGAGATTATTTTTGTGATGATTTTTAGTTTATTCCCCTTGGCACATTGGTCTGTCTCTAGGAACCTTAGGGGGACACTCAACTCTTCTGGAATCTCATCAGGAACATTATCATGACCATTTGTGAAAGAACATCAATAAAAATGCTTCTATTAACAGTTAACCCCATGAGCACTCTCAAGATGATCATTCCCAGGTACATGACGCATAGAAGGAAATGTCTGTGCTAAGAACCTTGAGTGTGCTGTTTCCTAACTCCTGTATTAAAAAGACTCTTCATTTACATTCTTTCAACATTTCCTGAGTCTGAGTCCCAGCCTGTGCACTTACTGCAAGCACAACACACGGTGGAAAAAAACAGTACTCAGAGGAAAATCCCTTCGGTTCAGATTCTAGCATAGTATCTATGGGACTTTTAGATTTAGCTGCCTGTCTAAAAATTTCAGTACTACTAGTCTACCAGATTATTTTCATCAGTAATAAGCATACTGTCTCTATGGTTGTTCTGGGTCAAAGATCTACACTTCTCTAAGATCATCCATCAGATTGTCCAGATAGTCATGGCCCAGAGAACCACTATGAGTAAGCCAGTTCCTAATGACAATTCTCAAAACTGACACAGACCCTGTAAAATTGTGAACCAACAAAATGTATTACAGAGGCCAGGAAATTGTCTCATGAGGATGAAGAAGAAACCGGGTGTGGTCGCTCACCCCTGTAATCCCAGCGTTCTGCAAGCTGAAGCAAGAGAATTACAAATAAAGAGACCAGCCTAGGCTACAGGACGGCCTCGAAAACCCACCACCATCAACCAAGGTAAACAAGAAAAAAAATGTTCCAACAGCAAGAACAATGATGGTAAACAAACAAGCCAAAAAACGGGGGGTGGGGTGGGGGGAGGAATGCTCTTTATATGTGTACTATTCTAGTACACCAGCAGGGAGTATTTCCTACCAAGGACCCACGGTTCTGCTACTGGAAACACGCCTCCCGGAGAAATAAAGGAGATAGGAAAAGCCTCCTCAAGGAGCAAGGACAGACCCGGGTAAGTCCGGAGGACAGTCTCTCCCCCACCTCCAGGCCGATTCCGTTTGAGGCTCGTTTTCTTTTTCTTCCCCTTACAGCTACGCAGCTGCACCCAACCGAGAGAACGAGATCGGCATCATCTGCATTTCATTCCTTTGCTTTTGCAATAGCTGGTCGCCTATAATAAACAGAACCTACTTCCCCGTCCAGTAGAAACCAAGTTCCTTCTTTGTTGTTTAATTTTTACGAACGACACGGTCTCCAATCTGCACGCGCACACACACACACGCACACACACGCACACACACGCACACACACGCGCACACACACACACACACGCCCTGGGGAGGCCAGGCACGACTCTCCCGCCACCACACCTTCCGCAAGCCCGACGCCCCACACCCCGGAGGCGGCCCCACTTTCGGAGGCCCCCAGGACACCCCGTGGCTAGGCTTGGGGAGGGGAGGGGGTGTCGGGGCGGCCGAGCCCGGACGCGCACCGTGCGGACTGCAGGGTCGGGGAGGGGGGGAGCTCGCGGAGGCGGAAGGGGAGCGGGGAGCCCCGCGGCCCCCCTCACTTACCCACTTTGTCCTTCCCGTACATGTGCCCGGCCACCTGATGCGAGAGGGGCACGCAGCCGTTGAGGAAACGCAGCCGGCCGGCCGCCGGCGGCGGGGTGCCTTCGGGGGCGGCATCGTTGGCCGGCGGGGTCCGCGTTTCGTGCGGGCCGGGCGCCTCGAGCCGGAGCGGGGATGGCGGCTCCGTTGCCATAACGGAGAACACACCAGCGGCGTCGGCTTCGGGAGCAAGCGGGGCGGGGGTGAGGTCGGGGCGGAGGGCAGGGGTGCCGCCGACGCCGGGGGTCGCTCAGGCTCGGCCGCGAGGAGGCCTGGGGGCTCCCGCGGCTGGTGCCCGCT